AGGGGGGGGGGGGGGATTTATTTTTGCGTCATACTTCTACTTCTCCTTCATCCCTGGTGTTATGAAATATACACTTGGTGTATATGCATCGACTGTTCGTGTCGGCTCGCATATGCATTTCATTCGTACCAGATGTCGAGTAATCTTAATGTCTCAATTTTTTTTATCGAAGAGGGTATCATGGGACGTGGAGCACGACATAAATAAAAACAATTTTTATACGCAGTTAATACTAATGCTAATGCCAGTCACTGTAAATTTTACAGTGAGCCTGTCAAATTTTATGAGCGAAGCTTTTTGAGGATGTATGGGTATACTATGGTATATCATTCTTCTGCAACCATTTCAGTAGAATTTTTTAAATATTGCATTTTCATTTCCAACCTATTTCACGTACCTATTTGCCTAAGACTCTACCGAGTCTGTTGATTACTTCGTTCTTGTTGCTTACGATTTCCAAATTGGGTTTTGAAGTTTTTGATCCTTTCTGATTTTGCTTATTTACCGCCATCTTGTTGAAAAGATTTCTGGTTGAACATGGCTACTGGGTCCGAAGTAGTCAATTTGGCCACCAGACAACCATTTAATGGCAGAAATAGAAGGTTCATTCTCGATAAAGGACGGTGCGCAAAGAGGGATGCTAAACTGCCGGTAGTCCGGGAAAAGCAGTCGATAATGCATTTTATTGGCGACAGGTGTGCGTTGCCCAGGAGGGGGTGTTTGTTTACTTTCCCTTTTTGGGGTATATTGACTAAGACTCTAAAGAGCGAGTGACAAGGCAGGGGTTGTAACCAATCCATAGAAAAGTCGCTCAGTAAATTTCAGAGCAGGATTCCTGCGTGGATGAAAATATTTCTTAGTGGGTCTCTTGACACGCTTGGATGATGAGAGTAAATCCAAAAGACGAGCGGAGAGGAGAGGAGTGGCGATAAGAATGGCGTCGACTGATGTGATTCTGAAACCGGGAAGCAGCAAGTGGGAAGTCGAAGATAAAAGATGGAGCTATCTTAGATGAAAAGGAGGAAGCGAGAGATTCTCTGTGTTACTTCATACGCGGTATTTTTCAGGGACGTTGAAGGCGCCCGGCGCTGGCGCAGTTGCCACTATTGGGCGACGCGGTTCATTTCTTAGGCTGACGACGAGGGCGCCACCGTGGCATAGTAACACGACATACGTAGCGTGTTTCAAGTGGCATGGTATCTCTCTCTCTCTCTCTCTCTCTCTCTCTCTCTCTCTCTCTCTCCCCTCTGTCCCCCCTTTTCTCTCTGACATAACCCCTACCCACCCATTCTACTACAGCAACGTACCGAGTCTCTTGGAGTACCGCGGTCTAACGGCAGAGAGACTTAAAGTGAACGAAGACGGAGTCGAATTTTTTAAAACAATCTCGTCTCCACGTGGTTGGTTGCTTAGCGAGACTCGTGATGGTTACTCGCTCTCTGTCAGCACAGGGTCTGCTCTTGCCACCCATAGGAGTTCCGTAGGATAGGAGGGCGCCGGCCGGCTGCTGCTTATATTCCCTTTTGCTACTTGTTCGAACTCTGCTTCTTGGTTCGAATTTGCTCTGCTTGCAGAATGTTTGATGGCTGAAAATGTAACTGGTACCTTGTAATGTTCTTTCTGTTATGACT